ACCCATGTATATGTGGTCAATTAATCTATGGCAAAGAAGGCAAGAATATACAACAGGAAAAAGACAATCTTTTCAATAAATGGTGCTGAGAAAACTGGACAGCTACATGCAAAAAAACCTTTTCTCACCATATACAAAAATAAACCCTAAATGGAGTAAAGACCTAACTGTGAGACCTGAAACCATGAAACTCTTGTGCATTGGCCTAAGCAACTCATTTATGGATTTGTCTCCTCAGGCAAGGGAAACAAAGGCAAAAATAAACTATTGGGACTACACCAAAATAAAAAGCTTTAGCAACAGTGAAGGAAACCCTGAACAAAATGAAAAGGCAACCTAGTGAATGGGAGAAGATAATTTGCAAATATTGGATATATCCAATAAGGGGTTAATATTAAAAATATATAAAGAACTTTACAACATCAAAAAAATAATAATTTTATTAAAAATGGGCAGAGGACCAGAATAGACATTTTTCGGTTGAAGACATACAGACGGCCAACAGACACATGAGAAGACGGTCAACATCACTAATCATTAGGAAAACGCAAATCAAAACCACAATAAGATAGAATCACACCCCAGTCAGAATGGCTAGTATCAATAAGAAAAAAATTAACAAGTGTTGGCAAGAATGTGGAGAAAAGGGAAACCTGTGTGCTACTGGTGGAAATGAAATTGGTGCAACCACTGTGGAAACAGTATGAAGGTCCTCAAAAAATTAAAAATAGAGATATTATACGATCCAGTAATTCCACTACTGGGTTTTTACCCAAGGAAATTGAAAACACTGATTAAAAAAGATATATGCACCCCTATGTTTATTGCAGCATTATGTACAATGGCCAAGATAAGGAAGCAACCCAAGTGTCCATTCATAGATGAATGGATAAAGAAGAGGTAGTGTGTGTGTGTGTGTGTGTGTATGTGTATTGCATATATGCATATATACACAATGGAATATTACTCAGCCATAAAAAAGAATGAAATCTTGCCATTTGCAACAACATGGATCAACCTAGAAAGTATTAAACTAAGACAGAGACAGAGAAAGACAAATATCATATGATTTCACTTATATGTGGAATCTAAAAAACAAAACAGGAGAATAAACAAACAGACTCTTAAATACAGAGAATGAACTGGTGGTTGCCAGAAAGGAAGGGGGGGGGGATGGGCAAAATAGGTGAAAGGAATTAAGAGGTACGAACTTCCAGTCACGAAATAAATAAGTCATTAAGATAAAAAGTACAGCATACGGAATATAGTCAATAACATTGTAATAATGTTGTATGGTGACTGATGGTAACTACACTTATCATGGTGAGCAGTAAGGTATAGAATTGTTCAATCACTACGTTGTACACTTGAAACTAATTTACCATTGTATGTCAACTATACTTCAAGAGTAAATGTTTTCAATTACATAAAATCTCCAAAAGGTAATTAGGCTTGACTCTTGGTATAAAGTATCATTTTACTTCAGGAAATAAAGATTTAAATAAGCTTACATAAAAATCCAAAATGCATTCATTTGGGTCAGAATTTTTTAGCCCAGGGTCCATGAACATTTGGGACTCACAAATGTATTTCAAGTTTCAATTCATGAAATTGTATGCAAAATATCAAGTGCGTGTGGATCTTCCTGGAAAGAGAGTTCACAGTTAAATTAGGTTCTCATTTGGGTCTGTAACTAGGGTGAAAAGCATCCTGGCTTACCCAGAACTGTTGCTTTTAGCACAGGAAGCCCTGAGTCCTAGGAACTCCTCAGTCTTGGACAAAAAACTGGGATAGGTGGTCACCCTTTCTTCAACCCAAGAAAGATCAATGAAAAATCATTCAAAGATTCCATTTAAATTCAATGCAAGGTATAAGTAAAAATTAGAAGATTACTTCTTGAGTCAGCGAATGTTGCTATTCCTTCTTATTTTACCTATGTCCTGAGAATTATTTTATATATAAACCAAAGCTACTGGTATCCTTCCTAGTTTCTAGGCTACCTGCAATTTGTAAATGACCCCCTTGTCACAATGAACCCTTACCTGTTGTCATGTGTATTTGGTGGCTGTCGCATAACTAGGTTGAGATGCGATTACCCTGGCAAGACCACTCCCCATATCAATCCAGAAGGGAAAACGCATGTCATCATATAAGAATCCTGGTTTGTGGCACGTTAGGAAACTCAGGTGCTCTCAATTGGTTTAGGTGTCAGCGAAGACACCTCCAAACAGTGTACATGAAGCTAATTTTCGCCCTCACCGGAGGCAGGCTAGAAGTTCGAACAGTGGCAGGACAGGCCTCTCCATTTTCCCAACACTCCATGTGGAGAAGAATGGGGCCTGTGCCCTCCTGGGAGAAGCCCTATCTGCTAAGGCATACTCAAATTACGGCATCTCTTTGAATTTCCAGTTTTAATCCACTGGCCTTTGGGGAGGTCTCCTTGGACAGCCTCTTTGGTCTCGGTGGTGCCACAGACAATCATAGGAGGACCGTGAGGCCACCACTGTGGCGAGCAGTCCTTATGCTGGTGTGGTGGTGACAGCAAGAATTAATGAGGTTCCAGGGCAAAAGTGCATCTCAGGGGAGCAGAGGGGGGATTTTCTAGTCTAGCTGACTCTGACTCAGCCAGAAGATTCTCTTTCCAGTATTCACCCTGGGCGCTCTGGTTTTCTTCTACGAAGAAAGGTGACTATTGTTATATGCACATACTTTACAATGTCAAAGTATAAACATGGGTGGCTTTCTTCATCTGTGGAGTTTTTACCTGAAACTTTTGTGGGTTTTGACGATCCATTGTGATCCTCAATCCCCAGGTTTTTTGTTTTGTTTTTTTTTAAAGATTTTATTTGTTTGACAGAGAGAGAGACAGTGAGAGGGGGAACATAAGCAGGGGGATGGGAGAGGGAGAAGCAGGCTTCCCGTCGAGCAGGGAAGCTCGATCCCAGGACCCTGGGATCATGACCTGAGCCGAAGGCAGACGCCCAACGACTGAGCCACCCAGGCGCCCCGAATCCCCAGGTTTTTAAGAGTCACATATCGTTTGAGAACACCTGTTCCGTTCTCATCATACCTGCATTAGTAGAAGTGATTCATGCAATTTCATATGTAAGTTTTATGAAACTGTAAGTACATTATCTCAAGATGGCAAATGTGAGAGACTTGGGCCACCCATTTCCCCCTGTGGGTCTAAACCAAACAACACTATTAATCACAGTGTTCTTTTTGTTAAGCCTAGACTCAGCTTCAAAAATTTTCTCAACTTCTACCAGACATCTGGCAATGGCAAATTTTTTTATTTATATAAAAAATATATTTATTGGGCCCTTGGGTGGCTCAGTTGGTTAAGCGACTGCTTTCAGCTCAGGTCAAGATCCTGGAGTCCCAGGATCAAGTCCCGTATCAGGCTCCCTGCTCAGCAGGGAGTCTGCTTCACCCTCTGACCCTCCCCCCTCTCATGTACTCTCTCTCTCTCATTCTCGCTCTCAAATAAATAAGTCTTTAAAAAATATATATATATATATTTATTTATATATGTGTGTGTGTACATATACACATACATAATAGATATATCCATTCTTTTCATTTTTAAAATGAACAGTTCTCTAAAAATTCTATACCAGCCCACGTGTCCTGCTTTTGAGTTAAAAAAAAAATTATCACTCTATGCACACCACGTATACCCCAACCAACTGAGCCACCCAGGCGCCCCTTTTTTTTTTTTAAAGATTTTATTTATTTATTTGAGACGTATACCCCTACATACGTAATTATGGAGAAATGCATCATCTAATGGCCGATGCTTTGCCCTCAGAGAATGACCATAAACCGTTGGCTTGTTAACCGGTTCCTTCTGCCCTTCCTGATAGCCAATAGCTATGCATCATTTGCAACTTGAGGTGAAGATCGGACATGAAGAACACAGTGAAGCAGCACAAATATGACAGCTCAGTAGCACAAGCTCTGGAGTTCAGCACCGAGTAGGCTCCAAATCTATATCCTAACTCTGCAATTTGTAAGTTCTTCTAATTTCTCTCTGAGTCTCAGATTCTTATAAAATGGAGAACGTAACACCTCCCTCACAGGGTTGTTAAGAAGTAAATGAGGGGGCGCCTGGGTGGCTCAGTTGGTTAAGCGACTGCCTTCGTCTCAGGTCATGATCCTGGAGTCCCAGGATCGAGTCCCGCATCGGGCTCCCTGCTCGGCGGGGAGTCTGCTTCTCCCTCTGACCCTCCCCCCTCTCATGCTCTCTCTCTCTCATTCTCACTCTCAAATAAATAAATAAAATCTTAAAAAAAAAAAAAAAGAAGTAAATGAGGGACACCTGGGTGGCTCAGTCGGTTAAGCGTCCGACTCTTGGTTTTGGCTCAGGTCATGATCTCAGGGTCATGGGATCAAGTGCCACATGGGGTTCTGCACTCGGCGTGGAGCCTGCTTGAGTTCTCTCTCTCCCTCTCCCACGGCTCCTCCTCTCCTCTTCCTCTCTCTAAAGAAGAAAAAAAGAGAAAGTAAATGGTATTTTGGATAAAGAGCCTAGTACACTGTGCAGCAATTAATAGGCCCCCAACAAATGGCCTTCATGATGGCCAAGTGGGACCTATTCCATAGCTGACCACAATTCAAAGCCCAGTCTAACACAGGGGCTGGGGCATGGCTGACAGAGGCAAAAGCTGAGGGAAAATTACAAAGTAGGGCTCGGACTCCTCTGTTCAACACACATTTACTGAAAAAAAAGGATTAAAATATAAAATTTTAAAAAAATATTTTTTTTTAAGAAATGAGCATTAATAGGGCGCCTGGGTGGCTCAGTCGTTAAGCGTCTGCCTTCGGCTCAGGTCATGATCCCAGGGTCCTGGGATCGAGTCCCACGTCGGGCTCCCTGCTCGGCAAGAAGCCTGCTTCTCCCTCTCCCATTCCCCCTGCTTGTGTTCCTGCTCTCGCTATCTCTCTCTCTGTCAAATAAATAAATAAAATCTTAAAAAAAAAAAAAAGAAATGAGCATTAATAAATGAGTGTCCACCATATGCCAGGTCCCATGCTGGGCACTGGAGTCCAAAATGAGAAGGGAACAAGGGATGAGAGCAGAGGGTGGGAAGCCCCCTACCCCTAGACCCTCCCTATCACTACCCATCTGGCTTGAAATTCAAAGCCCAGCAAATTCAAGATACAGAGATGTGTTTTCATGGATAATAATATCACACCTTTTCTTTGCAGTTCCAAGAGGTATGGATCAGTATTTGTTCTGTGGTAAGTGAAATTTACTTGAGATGAAAGTTACCGTTGCCAAAGTTTTCAAACCCCATTTCCTTCATATGAAAACCTAATTTGTTAAGAATTTCCTTAAATTCTGGCCAGAGTACTGTTCTTTCATCTTCTGTGTTTTTCCATGGTGTGAGATCCAGGAACCTGTTTTTAATAAAAAGAACAATAGATTGGCTAAAATGTGACTTATATTCCACTACAGATATCTATGAATAGATTCCCACTGACTTGATCCCTTGAATTGTATTATTTGGGTTATTAATGTGAAAGGAGGATATAACCTATAAAACCATGCATGTCCAAGACAAACGCCTCCTGTAAAACAAGTAACCCTATAAATTCCAATATTAGCTCTTGGGCATTCTGAGTTTGCTTGCACACACTAATTAAACGCATGCACCGATTTGTTCATTAGGTCAAGAGCAGAGAGGAGGTGTCCACCTTTTGGGGGCTTTTCCTTTGACGTCTGCATGGACCTGTGAGGATGTCAACAGTGCCCCCTGCCTTCTGTTAAAATGGTCAAACCTGGTGGGAATTCCTGAGGGAAGGGGTTCCTTAACTGCTGTGTACAACTCTTCAAAGCTTATCATGATCTGGTCTTGGAGTTTCAGCCTGTAAGAAATTAAGAACACAGGAGAAGGGAAAAGGGGAAACATTGAGACATATTCCATATACAAATAGAAGATCATAGTTCTATCCCAGCAGACACAACAACCAGATCCCTTTTTAAAATGTTTATCCGTTTTAGCTCAGATATTATGTTTTAGCTTTTAAGATGCTGTCTTGAGGAGCGCCTGGCTGGCTCAGTCGTTAAGCGTCTGCCTTCAGCTCAGGTCATGATCCCAGGGTCCTGGGATAGGGCCCTGCATCGGGCTCCCTGCTCAGCGGGAAAGCCTGCTTCCCCCTCTCCCACTCCCCCTGTTTGTGTTCCCTCTCTCGCTGTCTCTCTGTCTGTCAAATAAATAAATAAAATCTTAAAAAAAAAAAAGATGCTGTCTTGAATTTTACAAGTTTATTCAAGGGGATGTGGAACAGAATTAGTAATCTAAATTAAAATGAAGACAGCAGACTTTGAAACAAGGGTTACCAGTCATAAAGCATGTCTTCATAAATATACGTTGTGTGTATATGTGTGTGTGCGAGGGAGGAAAAGAAGACAGAGAGAGAGAGAGAGAGGACCGATTGTAATCCTGCTTGCCTATACGGCAGGGTTGGGTTTTGTGTTGTACTGTGGTAGAAGTCGGATTGTAGAAGACAGAAGGAAAGACTGACAGCAGGGAAACATTCTTAATTCCTCTGATGCCTGCCCTGCCGGCTGAACCACCCCCCCAACTCCACAGCCCTCAGCCCTCAGTCCGCCCTTCCTGTGCTCCTACTTCGTGTGGACTGAGTGACTTACGCTAGTCAAAAGGCTCCGTGCCAGGTGACATACCTGTGCAGGGGTTGTTAATGCTGCTTGGGACTGATATATCTTCTCAGAAATTTAGACAACACCATGAGAAGCCCATCTCTATGAGAATTCAAGGATCCACAGGAACAAAAATAAGATACAGTGATAAGAAAAGAAGAAAGGTTGGCCCTATTGGTCATTGATGGTACTAGGGGTTGTTTCTATCCTAGAAATGGTATGACCTTCAACCTTGGTCATTTTTCCCCCCTCTTCTCCTTCCAGATCCTGTTTAATTAATTCACAAATTCAATAAAAAGTTATTGAGAACTGAACACTTAACCAAACACTGGGATCCAAAGGTCATGAAGACATGGTCTCTGCTACCACAAATGTTGGTCTAGTTGGGGACAGCCAAGTATGTCATGATTAGTGCAGAGCAGAGTACAGAAGCTAGAAGGACCCTAATACAGCCACTTGAAGCAGAATGAAGGCTGAGACACAGGATGAAGAATGTGTGTCAGGGAAGGTTACCTAGAAAGGACAAGGCTTAGGGTGAATTTTGAAGGATGAGCAACCACTGAGTGGGCAAAAAGTGTGTGTGTGTGTGTGTGTGTGTGTGTGTGAATGAGAGTGAGCAGGGGGTGAGGAATTGGACAGAAGCCATATAAGGAAACAGCTGAATAAGAAGGTGAGAGAAAGCTAGATGTGTGCGGAGTATTGCAGGTGGATCATAGGGCTGGGGTGGCAGATGCACAGAGGTGTGGAGGCGTGGAGAGAGACTGGAAAGAGAGGAGGCCAGAGAGGTGTGTGGGGTCAGGTTGCAAGAGACCTTAAGTAGCAGCGGCAGGAACAGGAACAGGAACAGGTAAGGAACTGCTTTCTACCCCGAAAGCTGTAGAGTACCATGGGAGGACAGTAAGCAGAGGAGAAAAATCAGATGGATGTTATGGAATGATTGCTTTGGCCGCAATGAAGTCACTGGCCTAGCAAAGGGCCAGACCAGAGGCAGGGTAAAGAGTTGAGAGTTACTGATGGAAGCCGGGTGAGAGCCTGACGAGTGGTAGTGTAGAAAGGAGGGGATGGGCGTAAGCAGGGCTAAGTAAACATATTTAAGAATTTCTCTCCACCCTCCTTCATGGAGCCCAGCTACCTCCAATACAGTCAAGGAACCTTGGCCCTTTTAGAGTCTGAGAAATATACTCTGCAAACAGAGTGGGGCAATGTACCCTAAATTCTTTTTTTTTTTTTTTTTTTTTAAAGATTTTATTTATTTATTTGAGACAGAGAGAATGAGAGAGAGCACATGAGAGGGGGGAGGGTCAGAGGCAGAAGCAGGCTCCCCGCCGAGCAGGGAGCCCGATGCGGGACTCGATCCAGGGACTCCAGGATCATGACCTGAGCCGAAGGCAGTCGCTCAACCAACTGAGCCACCCAGGCGCCCCTGTACCCTAAATTCTTGAGCGTGACTTCAACTCCTGTTTTTGTTGGTTTGTTTTTTTAATTTTTTTTTAAATGATCAACATTAAATCCTCTCCAGGTTTCCACTCCAGCCCCTCTACTCACCTCAGGAAGCTAGTCATCTTCCTGGCCTAAGAGCCAGGAGGACCTAGTCTGAGTCTTTAATGCTGAGTACTTCCTGGGACACTACAGAGATAGGCCCCAGCCCTTTATGCTATATATGATTTTGGAAGTGATTTCTCCTAGCCAGGCCCAGACACAATAGGTAATCCTTATGGAAAAATGGTAACATTTAAAAAATAAAAACCAACTTAATTAAAAGAAAAAAGTAATTAATATCATTACGCTGCCCAAAGATAATCGCTCCTAACATTCTGCTGTTTGACATTCGTGTTCTTTTTCTGTGTGTATTATTAACATAGATGAGATTATTATTATATAGTTTTATACAGACAGATAGATCCTAATACCTTGTTCTTTTCACCTCACCTTATTATATGAACATTACTCGTGTTATTACAAACTTTTGGGGAAGGGTTATTTTCCTGGCTGTGTGATATTCCATCGTGTGTGTGATGTTTACTTAGCCATTTCCCTAATGGTGGTTATTAGATTCATTCCAAGTTCTATTATAAATAACTCTCTAATGAAGATTTTTATGCAACCAGCTTTTCTCTGCATTTTCAATGATTTTCTTGAAGTAACTTTCCATTAGAATTACTGAGTCAAAGAAAATAAATATTTAACCTTCTTAATACAATTACCTCCATCAAGTCTACAAATGGGTACTCTCTCCATCAATGGATAAAAGTGTGAAGATATGAGTTTGAAGCCAATTCTACTTCTTTTTTTTTTAAGATTTTATTTATTTATTTGACAGAGAGAGAGAGAGAGCCCAAGCAGGGGGAGGAACAGAGGGCGAGGGAGAAGCAGGCTCCCCACTGAACAAGGAGCCTGATGTGGGGCTTGATCCCAGCACCCTGAGATCATGACCTGAGCCAAAGGCAGATGCTTAACTGACTGAGCCACCCCGAAGCTAATTCCATTGCTTATTGACTGAATTATTTGGGGCAAGTTGTTTAACCTCTCTGAGTCTAAGCTTCGTTATCTGTAAAATGGAGATGCCTACCTCACAGAATCATGAAATTTAAAAGATGTAGCATGGAATTGGGCACAAGGTCTGGTGCGCAGTAAGTGTTCAACCTAAATATTGGTTCCTTCTTCCCTTCTGCTATTCCTTTTTCCATTGTTGGGTAAAAATGAAATGACCTTCAGGTTTGTTCCATTTCCTATTAGTCAGGCATTTAGATCATGGTTGCAACATCTTAACCACAAGGCATGTGAAGTAGATAACTGCACAATAAGGGCACACTGTTTGTATTTGGCTTATAGAACCTGCTCGATAATAAGGGCACACTGTTTGTATTTGGCTTATAGAACCTTCTTGATACTATGTAATTGAATTGCTAATAAATACTTGGTACATTTGTTACTGTTACTGCATTTCTGAACAGAGCTAGTGTTTTATATATTTTTCTATTTTATCCTTATGCAAATTATTTACCAGCTCTGGTCTGAGCCTCCCCATCAGAAAAAATAAGGATAATACCTGTCCTATCTTTTTGTGGAATGAGCATTTCTTGCTAACTATGGAGCTTTTTACTCACAGACCAACGACCCACACACTGAACGAGATACAGATAGGATTAGCCACACAAGTCAGAGAGACACAAAAGGAAGAGGAAAGAAGAAACTAACCTTTATCCAAAGTTTGTATTTTACGAGTATTAATCACACACACACAATCATGAGAGGTGCTTCACAGGTACTCAGATTTAACAGACAGGGAAACTGAAATCCAGCAAGGTTAAGCAACTTTCTCAAGTTGCCAAGACACAACACTAAACCGTATCCTGAAATGCAGAAGGGCACGCTTCTGTTATATTGGCTTAGTCATTATTAACACTATCGTGGAGTTGAACAATTCATTGTTTTGCTAACTTGCACGTTATTGCTTAGAGAGAAAAGCACAAGGTAAATTCATCTGGGAAATTTATTTTCTTAGTTCTGCTCAAAGGACCCCTTTAAAGGAAGCCGCATTGATAGCTACAGTACATCAGTGACACCAGGGGAAACTGATGTGTGTGTGGTGAGGGGAAGGAAGAGTGAAAGCGATTTCACGATCCCTTAGTTTCATTTGTTTTCACATTATAAAATATATAAATTGGAAGACAGTTCAGAAAGGAGAGGCACAGAAGGAAAAGGCTTCTTCTATTCCTGAGAGCTCCTTTCACAGAAATATTCTTAGGACCAGTCAGAGTGATACCCCCACGCTACCCCCAAAAGGAATAAAGATGCAGGCAAAAAATTGGCCAAGAGTGTAAACTAAAAAACAAATATTTCTATCAGGTAAAACTACATGAAATTGCAGTTTTGTAGGCCCAAATCAGTCAAATATCATCATTTTCATGTTTCCACCTATATATGTGACATTGTTCCCTAAGTCTCGAGAGAGCTGTTTCTGGGAACTGACTTCAAAAGTGCCGCTTGGTAGTTAGGGTTTTGGTGAGCTATTGCCTTTAAGTTCTATTCATCACTTTTAAAATGGAACTCGGAAATATTTTGACAGATATTTCAAACCACGTAAAAGAAAAATAACTTAATTACCACTGAGTCTGTCTTCCAAGTCCTGTGCTTCTTTCATTTCTTCACCTGAAAAATCACACATAGAATAGGTAGAGTAGCTTTGCATATAATTTGGTGGCTAAATGCATAATACCGTATAGGAATATCTACATTACTCCAGCTATGGGAGGGGGTATTAAATAAGGGACTAGAAGCTCTGCTGCCCACTAGTTGTGTGCAAAGCTTGAGCAAAGCCACTCACCTTTCTGGACTTCAGTTTACATCTATATAAAATAAAGATAGTAACTTGCCTCGTGGAGTAATTTGTGAGTATGACATGAAACGTTATAAAGTGGGAGACCTTTATAATTATGAAGTAGTTATAAAATTACAAGAGCTGGTTATTGTATGTTAATAAAGAGCAATGCTGTGGATCACTGAGCATTATATCTCTGGTTTGAAAGAAGCTTTGATTGTTTTCAGTTACCTCTTGCAGGGTAAGGAGAGAGCCATCTACAAAGACAGGCTTTGCTTGATCCCAACGCAACACCAAAGACAACGTGTCTGTGCTCTTGTTGACCAGTGAATGTGGTTAGTGTAGACAGACCCATCTGTCGGGGCCCTATAAGATTACTCTGTGGGCTTAACTGATGTAAATAGGCTTCACAAGGGGATCAGATCGATTGGGCAATTACGAAGTGCCCATTTTATGATTCCAGTTGTGTGGAGAGATGGTTGAAGACCACCTGGTTTCCTAGATTTTACCTATTTGCATATTCAGTGCATTCAGGCAATGTCACCTCAGCAAGTAGTCAGCGAGCATTCTTAGAAGATCTGCTTGGGCCCAGCGCCAAGACAAAGACCTGGCCACTGCCCTCCAGGGCCTCCCACCTGAGCCTGGGGGCCAGACAGGTGACTTATAACCAGGCTGTGGTAGCCAGCAGAGAAGACTTAAAAAGCTGTAGGGAAAGGGAGGAGGGAGAGAGCAATTCTAGCAGAAACCATTTATCAGGAAGCTTTGTTGAGAAGGAGGAATTAAGTCAAAGTGGGTGGCTAGGAAGGGAAGGAATTCAAATAGATGGATTGTTTGATACAGGAAACCAGGAGGCTAGGTGGCCGGTCACCTGCCAGCTAAAGGGGGAATATGACTGGAGATTGGGGGGTGGTGGTGCTGAGAGGGCTTTGAAGGCCAGCCAGGAACTGAGGCATTAGGACTTTATTCTGTAGGAAGCAGGGAGACATCCTAAAGGCCTCCAAGCAGGCACATAACGCAAACCAAGATGGAGGTCAGGTCTCTCATTTGAGGGTAGGTGGGGAGATTAAGGAACCTTTCGCTTCCCACTGACGCAGGAGCCCTGAAAGGCAGACATCCCTCAGGGTAGACAACTGACCTGAACCGTAAGTTCCTTGAAGGCAGGGTCAGGGTCTTAGTCACGTTTGTTTCCTTGCTGTCAAGCACAATGCCTGGTGATTAAAAAAGAAAGAGGAAGGAGGGAGGGAGAGAGGAAGAACATTTGCTGAATGAATCAAATTCAGGCAGAGGTATGAATGCACTGGGATGCAGGCTGAGCCCGGGCCCCACAGGGCGAGTGTCTCACGGTCCAGCCCCAGCTTGGAGAGGTCGGGCAAGAGCCTCCCACCAACCCGGAGAAAGTTGCTCTCAAAATAGAGGTCGTAGCGCCTACCTCCGTTCTGCAGGACAACTAACCGTGACCACGGACGTGAAGGGCTTAGTCCAGGGAGCCGCACAAAGCGGTCACTGAATTAAGTTTGGGGGAGATCAGTGTCCTGCAGGATGGTAGACACAGCGAAGGAACCTCTGGGGCCGGTGAAGGCCCGGAGGACGCTGGGCTTAGCGAGGAGGGGAGGCTCGTGTTCCCGCGTCGCACGCGAGCAGGACAAGGCCCCCTCCCCCCCCAACCCCCCGAGCCGGAGCGGACCCCCCGCCGCCCGCCCGCCCAC